TTATATCTAAAAATATAAAGAAAGCAAAAGAAAGCAAAGTTCTTATAATGTATGACTTGTCCAATGTGCGATTCTGTTTAAGAATGTCTAATACTTCCTAATTTATATACTAAGATTTTTTTTTTAAAAAAAAAGACTAGTTATATTATGATTAATTCAGAACAATTTTAAAAAAAACGAAAATAAACCATGATGTTACCGTCCAATGACAAATTAAAAAAATAAAAATCTAATGTTGTGATTGCCCAAAAATTTTAAAAACATGAATACAACCTACTTAGTTATTTTCAAACATGTATTAATAATGAGTAAAAAAAAGGATAGTTTATCTGTACAATAAATACCGGTTCCAAAATGACATAAGAAGTTATTCTTAGATTTTTAAATGACATCGATTTTGAATTAATATAAATACTAAATTGAAAATTAAATAATAAATTTACAAACAAATATAAATAAAACAAAATGAAAATAATAAATTTACAAACAAATATAAATAAAACAAAATGAAAATAATAAATTTACAAACTATTACAAATAAATTAAAATTAAATGATACTAAAATAACAGGCTAAATATCTCATATCCAGGCAATGCATGGACTTAATAGCTGCTAGGAGCATTAATATAAGAACTAGTAGAAGCGTATGAGCTAATAGTAGTAGGAGTGGAAATGCAAGACATACGCGAGTTTTTTTACCAAAGCAGTGCACCTATATACTTCGGGCCAGATTTTATATTATCCATATTTATATCAACTACAAATTTATACCATTCAGGAATAAATTCAGCATAAAATTCCCAAGGTTCATATAAAGTAGCTATGGTTTTATTATCATAGATACCATCCACTTTGGTTGCAATTGTATTATTACCAAAATTAATTAAATACATAAAATAATGATGAAGTATTAGTGATTTGTTGTAACTGTTCTACTGACTTGGTGATCCATAAAGTATTATCCATATATGTCAGAACAGAGGTTAATATATGTGCCATAGAAGTGGTGTTATAGTTTCTCCTTAGTCAATATCATTTTGTATTGTGTTAGATGGTGTAAA